ACACTTGACACATCGCATTTTAACAGATACATAAAAAGTTGTAATCATCATTTCTGCGCGAATGACACCCAGTTATATATATCTTTTCTGCCATCGGATATCGATGATGCTTGTTTTGGTCTGACTTCGGATATAGAAGCTTTGGAGCTGGTTTCTAAGCGTCACTGCCTTTGTCTGAATGCTGCTAAGACGGAACTGATTTTATTCGGGCCAAGAAAGGTGATAAGTGCCAATTCTGTTCGGAATCGGGTCAAGATAGTTGTCAATAATCAAGTATTCTCGCTGAAGGATTGTGTGAGAAACTTGGGTGTCTTATTGAACTATGCTACATACATCAATAAGTGCACTACTTCCGCGTATGCTGCTCTTAAGCTGATTTATGGCGGTCGGTCGTTCATCAATCGTGGAACAAGGGTGCTTTTATGCAAGGTCTTGGTGTTATCGCATTTTAATTATTGTGATACATTGTATGATTCGTGTATTTCGAAAAAATTTCAGAAAATTCAAAATTCTTGCTTGCGCTTGATATTTGGGTTACAGGGGCGTCAATATGTCAGTAAAGTAAAGGATTTGAGTTGGGTCAACATGAAAAACAGGCACATACTTCATTCGGTGGTTTTGTTCTTTAATATAATTACTTTGAAGAAACCTTCAACTTGTTCCATAGAATAAAATTTCGTACCGATGTTCATACCTTGAATATTCGATTCAAGGGCACTCTTACCCCGCCGATCCATCATCACCAGCTATGTAAGAAATGCTTTCTTACCAAATAACACATATTCTTAATGATTTGCCATCAACTATAAAATGTAGCACTTCTTTAAGGTTGTTTCGTCACAGAATGAGGGGCCGCTTGTCTCAAATTCAGAATGCATTGTAGGGCGACAGGAATCGGGTCTTTTTCTTTTCCTATTTCTTTTCTTTTTCTCTCTTGTATATTTAGAATTAGTTTTAGAACCATTCGGGTTTAGCCGCACGTCTCTCAAGACGGCTGAAAGAGTTAGTAATTTAGTAAAGTTAATAGAGTAATGTCCAGAAGCTTCAAATCTATTAATATATTCGAAAATGTGATCTATATGAAATTGTGATGAAAACATCTCTACAATACTTGACAAGAACGAAAGAATTAATTTTACTCATTAAGAAGTGATTTTGTCGCTTTTTAAAAGTACTTCAATGATGCCAAAAATAGAAATAATTAATTTTTGAATTTCAAAATGGCTCAAATCGATTAAAAATATGTTTTTAAATTGCTTAATAAAGACTGAAAGAGTTAGAAAAGTTAATGGGGTAATGTCCAGAAGCTTCAAAGCTATTAATATACTCGAAAATGTGATTGGTGTGAATCATAATGAATTTAATCTGCGTAAAACATCTCAAGAATATTTAACGAGACCGAAAGAATTAAATTAATACATTAAGAAGTGATTTTGCCCTTTTTTGCAAGTACTTCAATGATGTCAAAAATAGAAATTATTGATTTTTGAATGTCAAAATGGCTTTAATCGATTCACGGCTAAATCTGAATGATTCTAGCTCTAGGTCTTGTGCTAGTTCTAGTGATAGTGTTAGTGCAAAGCTATAACTAACACTAGACCGAGAACTAGAAATATTCGGATTTAGCCGCACATCTCTCAAGACGGCTAAACCCGAATGATTCTAGTTCTAGGGCTTGTATGCATTCTAGTTTAATAAAAATATGCAACATAGTGATATCTTATGTTAACTAGCACTACCTACCACTGACACTAGGACTAACATTAGACCTAGAATATTGCATTTTAAGTGAAATTTACTGTATGGTATTTCAAAAAACTTGTAAAAAAATTCTTACTTGCTTTAAAATAATACTACTCATTTCTACTCATCATCAGCCGAATCTACATTAAAAAACATATCATATGACAGATATTCGAATATAAAATAAGTAGAAAAAGTAATATATTTACAACTTACTGTCATAAAGTAAAGCAAGTAAAAGCTTTTTTTACAAGTTATTTGAAATATTGAAATTGAAACTTGCAACATGTATCCCAAATTTATTACTGTGTAGTGTCTATTATTATGTCTTATTATTGGTGTCTTATTTCCTCATTTTCAACTCAGTTCAGCATGGTTATGCAGCATCTTCTCCAAAACATCATCTCTGCTGGTAGCAATCTTCGAGTTGTGCCTTTGTGTCTCAGTCACACTTTTCATCCATTAATGATTCTATAATGGCCCTAAAAATATTTTTCTTTGTTTGTATCGTTAGGTTGTTATTCCACAGAATCGAATGCAGTGCCTTTATCGCTTTTGTTCCTCTGCCAACTTTCCTCACTACATCTTTATTGTCAAGGTGTCCTTAAGGTATTCGTACTGCTCTACATGTTTTATTATGCCGATCTCTAATTGTATGTCCTTTCCCATTCCTCCAATTACCATATTGGCTCTTATCTTTCTTCATTTTCAAGCCCAATTTATTGTATTCTTCTTCTAGTTTATTATTACCTCATATCCTCTTCTTCCTCTGCAAAAACTATTTGGTCGTCCGCAAACAGCATGGTGTGTATGTGGCTGTCTCCTACCCATATTCCTATTGGGTTGTATTTCCTTTTCCAATGTTTTGTATAACACTTTTACAGCATGGATTAAGTTCTGTTGATTCCTGCATCTGTTTGATCTCGTTCATACTGAACACCTGCAATGTTCTTGTTAAGAATACCAAAGAGATGATAACATTCTTTTATCATTATGCCTCTTAAAAAATAGATTCTATATAACAAAGCATGTCATTCAATATAATCGCATGCGCCATAAAAAAGCAATATGCATAACAGAAAGGGCGTTCGCAAACCCTGGATTAAAATATGTAGTGGCTCAATTTATGGACTTTTCGGGAACCTTTGACAACTTATGGAGAGCAACCCTACTCTCAATGCTGAATAAAATAAGTGTTTCCCGAATTACTGCCAAGATCGATAAGTCACCATCAGGAGTGAATAATTCTGAAACGTGTCATAACGATGTATTTAACATGAGAATGTTGTCAAGGTCCCAAAACAAAAATTTTTATCGAATTAATCCTAACGACGTCCTTGGACTGCTTTATCTTTAATTAATATCCGATTGAGATTAGCTCGTCGATTGAAATGAAGTTATAGGATTAAATAAAGGTGCTATCGTGTTACTTTAAAACGTCGTATCTCAAAAACTAATTGAGATATCACAATAAAATGAATACCTTTTTGAAGCAAATTTATATGTTATTTGAATTGGTGAAAATTATTATTTTGTTTCTACAAATTTCGATGTTACGATTTTTTTTAATACCACCCCGTTCGTTTAATAAAGTATAAAAAGTGATATCTCAAAAAATAGATGAGATATCAAGATGATATAAAAAGCATTGTGTAGCAAATTTAATCATGTTTCAACACACCATGTATAATTTTTTTATTCCTATGAATCTTAAGGATTTTTTTAATATCACTCCGTTCGGTTAATAAAGATTAAATTAAATAAAATCATATCTCAAAAAGTATATGAGCTATCAAGACGAAATAAAAACCATTTTGCAGGAAATTTAATCATGTTTCAACAGATCATGTATAATTCCTACATTCTTGTTGGTCAAGGAATTGTCTAGACTCTAGAGAGTAACTTCCCGAAAATAGTTCATAGTTCACATAAATTCAAAAAATTTCCAAGTTTATTCTCTTCATCCTGCATTTACAATTGCGAGACTTCAGCAGTACTCAAACAACAATGTATTCAGTATTGATCCTGTTAATTTCGCACAACATAATATGTGTTACGTATATAACAATTTTTTCAAACACAAATTATTTACGTCATTAGCTGGAAAATGCAGCTACATAGTTAATATACGAATAATTTGTTCTAAAATTCAAAAATTTTATAATCGTTTCTAAAACGTTAGTGTTTTTACCTTTGCGTGAATGTTCGTTCTATTATACTTAACTAATGGCAAGCCATTGTCCGAACATGATGCTTTTATAATGCCCATAAACACTTTAATTAAACACCGTTATTTTAGTTATTTTCTTTGGATTATCCTTATTATAAACGATACTTACAAAGGTATAAATGACAATTAGCTATAAATAATGATAGAATTAAAATTAACATCTTCATTTCCCATCTGTATGAATCTTCTTTTTCCATAAGATTAGATTTATAATTATGCACGAAAATGATGTTTAGAAAACGTCATATTTGACAAATTAATCTAACCACATGTGCAATATAGTCACTATAGTCAATATAGTCAATATAGTCATTTGTGAATTTTAAATACAGTGTGTTTATTAATTATCGTACCCGATGCAATTATGCAACCAATATTGCAAATCGCGTATTGCAATACCAGTACTGTGATATTGGTTGCATACTTGCAATGATGATCTTCTAATACATAAGTACGAAGGCTTTCATGGCCGATGTTAATTAAACTAATACTAGAACTAACACTAGACCTAGAAACTATCGGGTTAAGTGCGTTTTTTGAAAAAATGATTAATGTTTCGGATGCCATGTTGTAACCTTCTTCAGAAATAAGTTCTAACTTGTCTAGTGTAAGTGCAAGTGTTAGTTCTAGTTTTAGTTTAATCTTCTAATACATTTTTATAAAAGCGACGAATTTGAGAGTCGATAGAAGGGAAAGAGGGTGGCGTGAACCGAACATAGGTTTGGAAGGGTGCGAAATTCGCTATTCCACAGGCGTAGGCACGGTAGGACGCCTCAGGGTCTCCGTACTGGAATATTTAATCGCTCGAGCACGGTGCCGTCATTAATTCCAGGCGCTCCACGGGCCCCCTATAGGCGGCGCGCGCGCCTCGCATTGGTGCGATGACTGATTGATGCGGCGCTGCCGTAGGCGCTAATGATGCCGGTCGCTTTCCCCTCCCGCCTCATGCTTTTCCATGACCGCCTGGGACCGGGCGGTGTCGATTTCAAGCTCGATTCACACTACCAAAGCATCTACGTTAAGTAAAACTTTAATACTTTTTTAATTCATTAATATTTCAATAAAAAAATGACAATTAGATTTAATCAAAAAGAACTTGACAAGATATGTCACTACCATGTCACCATCAAACCAAGTATTACATCTTGCGAACATACCCAACACGAATTTTACAATGTTAAACGTAGTTTTAACAAAATTTTAAAAGAAATAGATGGACATGGATGATTACGACTCCAGAATGTCAGTGACCACTCATTTGGTTATACTCATTATAATACTCGGACTTCTTATAGCTGTGGTTGTCCTTTTAGCACTCCTGTTACAAAATTCTAATGCGACATTGCGTAAGTTAATTTGAAATTGATTTTTTTTGTCACTATTTTTATTTTTCATGTAGTGATTACAAGACAAGAAGGTACCACTGAAAATACAGCGTGCTCAAAGTGAAAATCAAGGTTTCAAAATAACGAATACTACAAAAAGTATCGATTTTTTAGATAAGATATTGTAATAGGTTGATATAAAATATGTTTCATTTTACTAACAATTTAATATAACATATATTGATTTATTTAATGTAGTATTTGATGTTTTAGTTTTGCTCTAATATTCCATTAAAGATGTATCTTGGTATAAAATCTTTTTTTCTTAAAAACGCTTTATGATGTAACTTTTAACAAAATGTACCTTTTTTGTGTAAAATATTTCGAGGAATTCAAAGACGTAGTCAACATTATAATTTGGTTGATATGGTGGATGCAGAATGTTTTTGTCCACAATTTTATTGTTGTGTTCTTTTACAAAAAAAACCTTCACATCTCCGGAGCATTTGGAATTAGAGGATGTTTTTAAGAGTACTTTTTATGCGAAACACTTAGAACAATTCAAAAATGTCCTCAAAATTTTAATTCCGTTAATGACGTGGATGTTACTTGGGCATAGAATGAAGATGTAATAAATTTTTTGAGATTTTGGTGTTTGTTGGGTCAAAATCGTTTTTTTTAAGCACTCTTGGTGATATAACTTTTAACAAAGAATACTTTTTTATGTAAAATACTTCGTGGAATACAAAAGGGTCTTCAAAATAATAATTCGGTTAATGACGTGGATGTTACTGGGCGTAGAATGAAGATGTAATGAATTTCTTGGGATTCTGATGTTTGTTGGACCACAATGATTTTTTCTTAAGCACGCTTGGTGATACAACTTTTAACAAAGAGTACTTTTTTATGCAAAATACTTCGAGGAATTCAGAAAAGTACTCAAAACTATAATTTGATTAGTGCGGTGGATGTGACAGGTTGCAGAATATTGCGTTCTTTAATTGTTGTGTTTTTTTCCAAAAAAATCTTCACACCTTCGGAGCATTTGGTCTTAGGAAATTTATTTAAGAGTACTTTTTACGCAAAATACTTGTAAGAATTCAAAAATGTCCTCAAAATTATAATTCGGTTAATGACGTGGATGTTACAGGGCGTAGAATGAAGATGTAATCAATTTTTTGGGATTTTGGTGTTTGTTCGATAAAAATCGTATTTTCTTAAGAACGGTTGGTGATACAACTCTTAACAAAGAGTACTTTTTTATGTAAAATACTTCCAGGAATTCAAAAATGTACCCAAAATTATATTTTTGTTGGTGTGGTGGATGTGACAGATTGCTGAATGTTGTTATCTCTAATTATTGTTTTTTACAAAAAAAAATCTTCACCCCTCCGGAGCATTTGGCTTTAGAAAACTAACTTAAGAGTACTTTTTACGCAAAACGCTTAGAAGAATTCAAAAATGTCCTCAAAATCATAATTCGGTTAATAACGTGAATGTTACAGGACGTAGAATGCAGGTATAATGAATTTTTTGGGATTTTGCTGTTTGATGGATTAAAATCGATTTCTCTTAACTACGTTTGATGATACAACTTTTAACAAAGTACTTTTTTATGTAAAATACATCAAGGAATTCAAAAATGTACTCAAAATTATAATTTGATTAGTGTGGTGGATGTGACAGGTTACAGAATGCTGTTATCTTTAATTCTTGTGTTTTTTTACCAAAAAAACCTTCACACCTTCGAAGCATTTGGCCTTAGAAAATTTATTTAAGAGTAGTTTTTTACGCAAAACACTTAGAAGAATTCAAAAATGTCCTCAAAATTATAATTTGGTTAATAACGTGAATGTTACAGAACGTAGAATGATCATTTTTTTGGGATTATGGTGTTTGTTGGATAAAAACCGTATTTTCTTAAAAACGCTTGGTGATACAACTTTTAACAAAGAGTACTTTTTTATGTAAAATACTTCGTGGAATTCAAAAATGTACTCAAAATTATAATTTGATTAGTGTGGTGGATGTGAGAGGTTGCAGAATGTTGTGTTCTTTAATTGATGTGCTTATTTCCAAAAAAAACTTCACACCTCCGGAGTATTTCGTATTCGAAACTTTATTTTAGAGTACTTTTTTACGCAAAACACTTGGAGGGACTCAAAAATGTCTTCAAAATTATAATTCGGTTAATAACATGAATGTTACAGAACGTAGAATAAAGATGTAATCAATTTTTTGGGATTTTGGTGTTTGTTGGATAAAAACCGTATTTTCTTAAGAACGCTTGGTGATACAACTTTTAACAAAGAGTACTTTTTTATGTAAAATACTTCGTGGAATTCAAAAATGTACTCAAAATTATAGTTTAGTTGGTGTGGTGGATGTGACAGATTGCAGAATGTTGTTATCTTTAATTATTGTGTTTTTTACCAAAAAAACCTTCACACCTCTGGAGCATTTGGTCTTAAAAATTTATTTAAGAGTACCTTTTATGCAAAATACTTGTAAGAATTCAGAAATGTCCTCAAAATTATAACTCGGATAAAGACGTGAATATTACAGGGTGGAGAATGAAAATGTAATGAATTTATTGGGATTTGTTGGATCAAAATCGTTTTTTCTTAAATACGCTTGGTGATATAACTTTTAACAAAGAGTACTTTTTTATACAAAAAACTTTGAAGAATTTAAAAATATCCTCAAAGTTATGATTCGGTCAATAACGTGGATGGTAAAAGGCGTAGAATGAAGATCTAATGTTTTTTTTTACTTAAAGTTTCCACACCTCTGGAGCATTTGGTGTTAGAAAATTTAATTAAGAAAACTTTTTTATTCTTATTTTTATTGAACTAATTAATCTAATTTATAATTTTCCAAATATTTGTCCACAAAAATGAAAATATTTGGAACTTATTCGTCATTCGTGACGAGGTCATCCAGCCGTGCCCAATAAATGATTTCGTTCAAAATCCAATATAAACCGTTTATTCCAAACCGCCAAATTAATTTTATTTAAAGGCTCCCCGTTAATCGTGCCGCCAACCCCGTCGATGGATTTTACCGCATTCGAATTATAAATGACACAGCCAAAATGTAAAAGCGACAAACATAAATTTAGCCATACCGGAAAATATTCGGGATTATCTGATTTCGCACTATTACAAGAGCACCCGATTATTTATTCTCATTTCTTCGAAAATGTACGCTTTCGATTTTAAGCAATTAAAAAAACATTCCTTCCATTACACCATCATTTATCATTACACCCAATTAGCACATGTCCACCCCTAATTGCATCGCCGCCGCGACGCCTTTACATTCCCTCTTCGTCTTTCTCCTCTAACTCTTGTCGCGTTCGCGGTTGATGTATTCGGTGGCGTAAGAAATTGACGGAGGGCGGCGGTAATGGTGGTGGCGGTGGTAAAGGCGACGGCAGCGTTTCGCTGCAATTTGCGCGAGGTAAGGGCAAAACCGGCCGGCAAAAACGTCGACTCGGCGGAGAAAAGGACGGAAAGCGAGGAGCAACGGAGAGGGTCCTATAATAAATCCCGTCGTTGTTCGGGACTGCGTCGGGCGGCACCCGGGGGAAGAAAAGAACGGGCGGGAGCGTCGACACTTTTTCATTTCGGTGAAAGAGGAGCGACGTCAAAGTAGGCCGCTTTCACGGCCGAAGGGGGCGGCAAACAACCCCGTCGGGGACGCATTGGGCACATGGTGGTGTACCCCGCTCGCCGCCGTCCTCGTTATTTTTCACCCTTCGTAGACAGAATTTATTCGCTCCTACTACTCGCCTTATCCATTAACATATTCTGCTGGCGTTAATTAAGTTGGTCCTGAAAGGGAATCGCAAAGGACCTTAATTGATCTCCGATCAAATTTCTCTATCTATTTTACTTAAAAGCAAAAAATCATAGATAATTTTTAGTCATCAAGTATCACAAGTATCATAACTGCCTGTTTTTCCACTTTTTTGCCCCCTAATGGTTTGGAAGGTTGTCGATACATTTTTTTTTCTAGGTCTTCCAATGCTTCTTCGTTTTGATGATGATTTTCACAATTCATCTCTCAGTTCATTCCATTTCTTCTTTCTGTCCAAACCCAAACATTGATGTTATCTATCCTGCAAATCTGTCTGATATTGTCACTTCTTTCTCTGTCCATTAATGTTTTTGCAACTACGTACGCACTATTTTCATTTCTGTACTTTCTAGCATTCCTTCTGTTTCGGATATTTCTGGTCGAGTCTCTGCTCCATATGTTAATATAGGTCTAATTGCGGTTTTGTATATCCGAGCTTTGGCTTCAGTTGTAATATGCTTATTTCGCCATATTGTGTAACTAGATATTTCAGTGCCCAAATATTTGAATGCATTTTGTTTTTGCAGCTGATATAGCCATATTAAACTGTTTTGAGATCATCCTCGTTTTCCGCGATGAGCACCACATCATCTGCGCAGCACAGGATGTTAACTACCTTATTTCCAATCTTGTATCCTCTTAGTTTACGCACTTATACTATAATAATATCGTTTTGCTTAATATCTTTTTGATCGTATGAAATACCTTCATTATGTAAATGAATCCAAGTCGTAGTATGTGGCGACTAGGAGTAACGTCAATTTGAATGGATACTAACGTAACATAGGACTATTAAGAGAGGGGTACAGTACTGGGACAACACAACAAGGCAGTCGGATCCGATTCGATCACAGAGAGAGCGAGACCCGGCAAATACATAGGGCAATCGGAGCCCTTCGAAGGGAGGGCGGCGGTTAATTATACAGCTGCCGGCCGGCCGATGATACACACTTGCATAATTGGAGCGTATTCAATTTGCCCGGCCAACGAGGGGTGACACAATCGGCCAGAGGAACCGGTTTCGCTAAATTTCCGGTCCCGTCGATGCTGATCGCCTGAATCCAGCCAACGCGCGTAAAGGGCTAATGAGCGAGACGCGCTTTAATAGGGGAGGGCACTACCGAATACTGACCTTGTAAATCTTTTATAAGATTCTCCGAAAGTTTGCGAAACTCACTCAATAAATTGATGGAGGGGATGATACCCTTTTGATTTATTAACTACTTGTTGGCAAGATTACGATACATATCTTTTATGATATTCCTATTCTATTTCTATGCGAGTATTTGCAACTTTTTTTATTGCTGCTTCTTGCATTCCAACCACCAAAGGTCCTTATCATTCCAATCATCTTCACATTGATATCCTGGATAAATTTTTTTGTAGGCTTAATTTTGTTAAACCTTAAGTGGGATTCCCTCTTTACTCATTCGGTGTAGATGTCTATTGTACGATGAGTAGTATTACAATCCTGCCTTTAGGAAAAAGTGTCTCTTAAACTAGAGAGGAAAGGTTCATATTCAATAGATGGATTAGTAGGTATGAAGAACTCTCCAGGAAGTCTTAGTGATTGTCCGTAAAGCAGTTCTGCTTTATCTAGGAGCAACCTAGATCTTCCTTAAGAGATGTTCTTGATTCTAGTAGGATGAGGGGTAGATTGTTGTTCTATCTAGTAGTGTCTCCTTTAGCTTTCGTCTTCAATGATCGATGAAATCATTCTAACATTCCATTTGCTTGAGTATGAAAAGATGATGTGTATTAAATTTTGAAAAAAGGTTTGATTCGAATTGCCGTCCCTGATCATGTGTTATTGTGGTAGGAATACCAAATCGACTAAAATAATTCTGAAAAAGTGAGTTCGCTATAGTAGAAGATGTGATATCTTTTAGCGGAAAGCTTCTGGCCATCGAGTACATACATATAAGTACAACCTAGGAACGGAGTGAGCGATCCAATCAAGTCGATATGTATATGATCAAATATAATTTTAGGTCTTTTGATGTGATGATTGGTGATTTTGTATGTTTTTGGATCTTTGCTTGTTGACATTTTAAGCAGATTTTGGTCTAAACATCAATTTGCTTTGACATGTGTGGCCAAAAGAATCTTGTTTTGATTGCATGATTGGTGGAATGTATTCCGGGATGAGATATGCTATGAATTTTGTCGAAAATTGCTTGTCTAAACTGTTGTAAAATATAAATTCTTGGAGATGATGAAGAGGTTTCACACCACAGTTCGATATTAGATTGTGATGTTGTTTGATGTGCCAAACGATAAGGTTTTGAAGGATTGTTGGAAAATTGTTTATTTAGTAAGTTTGACAATTCTGTGTCAACAAGTTGAGCGTTGTTAAAGGTTAGAAAATTTGGGTAAGATGAATTTAGAGATCTGATGCTTGTTCTGGATAGAGTAACATTTGAATTTCCTCTGATGTATTTGATATCTGAAGTAAATTGTGCAATATAACTTAGATATCGGCTTTGACGAGGAGTTTTGTCTGTGGACGAAAAAATTGATGTGACAATGGGTTTGTGATCTGTATATACTATAAATTGATTTCCATGTAAAGAATGTTTGAAAAATTTGATGGCAGAATAGATTGCTAATAGTTCTCTATCAAAAGTTTGGCATGCAGTAAATTTTTTGGAAAAGAATGCTGTTAGATGCATCAGTTGAAAATGATAAGGTAGCATGTGAAGAGGGATGTCCTAGCTAGAAAAATAGAATTTGACAGAAGATCTTTGGCTGAAGAAAAAGCCTTGTGTTGCAGTGTCCAAGAAATTGATGAGATCGCTTTTAGTTTTTGATAGTGAAGTGATTTTGTGATAGTGTATAAGGGATCAAGAATATTTGAACCATTAGGTAAGAATCTGTAGTAGAAGTTTAATATTCCCAAAAATCTTTGCAACTCTTTTAGAGTCGTTGGTTTTGGAAAATGTGTTATCGCTATGATTCTTGATTGGGATACTCAAATACCATCGGCTGAAATATGATGACTCCAATGATTTAACACCGAAAATGCATTTTTTAGGTTGGATATTGATATTATAGGAACTTAATCTGTGAAATAATTGTTTTAAATGAAGTATGTGTTCTTCTTCATTTCGACTTGCTACAAGCATATTGTCTAAATATACAAAAATGAAAGTATGCAACTTCATTGATGAACCTTTGCGCTGCATTTCGAAGGCCAAAACGCAAGCGAACAAATTCGAAAAGACCGAAAGGGGTTGTTATAGCTGTAATTCTAGCTAAAGCCACTGAACATTAGCTATCTTCAGCTCTCCTTAAGCATTGGCTAACAAACTCATTAGCCTCTTCTCTTTTAAATGACCCCTTCTTAATTCATGATAAATCAATCATAAGCTACTGGTATATCTGATAAGATAAACATTTGCTCCCCGGCTATTGGCAGCAACGACTTCCCTTTTTTGAACGACCTTGACTTCGCGAGATAAAGAAATTAAAGTTTGTTTCGTCTAAATCGATTATGGGCATAAAAAGTTTTCATTTTAAAGCTCAAGCAAATTTCTTATTTAATCAGATGTTTTTGTGTTCACTTCGACTGTGTTGGTTCTTTCCGGTTCAAAACGTATTTGTTTTAATGTAAAAATGAGGCTATCAAGGTGTAGTCGAATACACTCCTTGCTTACATTAAGCTGAAACTCATTTCGTAATGTTTCTTGCACCTGCTTAAGTGTGATTTTAGGATTTTCTTCAAGTTTAATTTCAAAGAAACGGTGATGTTCATATGTAATTTTTATTTTATGTTTCCTTCTCTTAGTTTTTCTTCTTCTTCTTGATTTTTTACCCATCTCAACTGTTCTTTTTGCAACGCCAAGAATTTTAGCTAAATTGCACCAGACGCAATTCGTATTGTAAATAGCACAAATTCTTCCTTTTTCTTAATATAAGGCATTTTGTAGATAGTTTGTTAACAGTGACAATTTGTAATTAATTAATGTCATTTTGATTTTGATTAATGCCAATTTGAACTTGAAATGGTATAGTGTTAGTTCTAGTTTTAATTGTTATCAAGCGCTATATTGTTGTCTATTTTTACTGAAATAAAAGTAGAACTAATACTAGACCTAGAACTAGAAACATTCGGATTTAGCCGAATCTCTTAAGTCGGCTAAACCCGAATGATTCTAGTTCTTGGTCTAGTGCTGCATAACAATTAAAACTAGAATTAACACTATCTAAAACTAGAAAGTTTTGGGTTTAGCTGTGCATCTTCAGTTATTTTTATTTCATCATTTTCAACTTGGTCCAGCATGGTTATTCTGCAGCAAATTCTCCAAAACATCATCTTTGCTGCTCAGTCTTCGAGTTGTGTCTTTGTCTCTCACTCACACTTCTGACCCATACGTCATTAATGGTTCTATAATGGCCCCATAAATATTTTTCTTTGTTTGTATCGTTAGGTTGTTATTCCACAGAATCGAGTGCATTGCCGTTATAGCTTTTTTTCTTCTGCCAACTTTCCTCATTACATCTTTATATGATGTTTCCTTGAATTAAAAACTACATTAATGCAAGCAAGTTGAGTTCGTCAATTCAAATAAACTTTTTAATGATAATTTGTTTTTGTGCTTATATGGCTCGTATTATATTTTTTCACGGGTTCTTAAACCGTCACTTTGCACGCAGTTCCCTAGCGTATCCAGGGACCCTTTTATAGCGGAGAGGAGCGTTATAAGCGTCTGGACCCACTCTGCGTCGTGTCGACTCCCTCCCACACCGTTATCCGTTGTTTATTCAGAGAAACGCATTAATATTAAAGCTGCACACGTCGGCCCGGAGCCGAGCCGAAGCGGGAAACGTACTCGTGTGCGCACACATATACACTTACTCACACATGCCAGGTTCGTAGAACCCCCCCGAAGTTCTGTCCGTTGGCGTGAGTTGCTTCCGCTATTAGCATTCTAGCGGCAGATGTAATGTTGCAACGCATGGTCACCGTTCGTGTAACTTCCAAAGTCTTTGTATGATCGGCGATGATGTCGAACGAATCTATTTCCAGATAGAATGTAGCGTCGCGACGCTACGTTGCCGCTACAGTCTATAAGTACCTATTAATTATTATTAATTGGGTTAGTTTTTATGTTAGGCGTTATTAATATTGATGATAGGGAGGCGTATGGATGGGAAAAAAAGGATAAAAAAAAGTTGACAGCGCCACTAATTGAAGTTATTCGGCCGTGAACTTGTAGCGACGGCGACGCGGCAACAGCTCGGCGACAGTCTGCCGCCAAAGAGGGGGGAAGAGACGCGGCGCGGTGCGATTTGGAACTCGCAGCAACGCCGCTTTGCCGCAGTTCCCAGTTTGCCGCTACCGCAGCGCCAGGTCGCCGTGTACAACTCCGTAGAGCTCCGACGCCCAACATGAATAATTTCGACCTCATAGAAAATATACGCCTCAGGCGTCCCTTATGGGACAAGACGACCTGGGACAAAGTCGATGTCATCGCCAGAGAGGAACTCTGGAGTGAGGTTGCTTCTAAAATGGATACCTCAAGTAAGTACAAATCGTAGTCGAAATAGCACGCTTTCTTATCCCCACCATTGTTTTTCTTTTGTGCGCCAGAAGAAATAGTGAAAACGCGATGGAAGAACTTGCGAGACTCCTATCGTAAGATCATGCGCAAATTGGAAAATCTAGAAACCGACGATCCGAAATGGTCGTACTTCAAAGCCATGGAATTCATGAAGGACATTACGCTGAGCGTTCGTGCCAGGAGTCACGATATCTCCTTAAAGAAGGCCGACGGCACCCTGGAACCCGACTATTCCATCACCCTTCTCTCCACCTCAGCGGAAGACAGCGTCGATCCCCTTCAAATGGGTTTTCACCACCACCTCAGACCGCCGTTCCATATCAAACAGGAGGCGGGCACGGGAAGACGTCGTCACGCCACCGAAGATTTAGTGACGCATTTTTTGGACCTAGACGCCGACAAACACGAGCACGAAAAGCAACTAGCTAGGTTAGCGGTCCATGAGGACGATGACTATCAGTTTTTAGTGAGTTTATATCCTCACTTAAAACAAGTACCTGTCAACAGGAAACTGATGCTAAGGATGAAAATCGAACACTTAATTTACAACGAGGTTTATCTTCAAAACACAACCGTCACCACACAGACTTGTAATCCTTTTCATGCATAGCGTAATCTTTATTCTACATTATAATTTATATTATTATCATGTTCGTTGTATGTATAGCGTAATAATTATATTATTAATAAAACAGTGTTATGCTTCATTATAAATACAATTTTATTGAAATCCTACATCCTACATTTTTTTTTAAGTTGTGCCATCTATGAGATTATGTTTTTGATTACATGTTTATCCAAATTTAGCAGTAAACCAAAAAAAGAATAGACCTATAATCTAATGAAGAATTTGCTGAAAATGTTGGCGATTTTGATTTGGACATTTCCAAAATCATGGGAAAAATAATTTCAGAAACGTACGATAATTTGGAGGACTACGAGGAAAATTCGGATTTGGAACAAGATGGTGATTATGATATTATAATATCAGAAACTTTCAATCTTTTTATGACTCTAGAAATTAAAGCTAACGATTATTCATGATAAAATAATGAGCAAACAAATTTAAATGTCAAACTTGCCGAAATGAAAATCTATTGCTTTAAGAATTTAGCAACCGATCTCAACATAAGCTTTATGAAAATTACAAGACCAGAAACTTCGATTTTATGCAACCATATTACTAGTAACAAGTGTTGGTTTGGCAAAAGATTTACAGTAATCTAAGTCAAAAAAAGGGAGTAATAACAAACTTGACATAGTTGTTCAAATTAGCATCAAAATAAGAGCCAACCTAAGCAGTCATCAATTTACTTTTACTGAAGGCATCAATATGATTTTATTTATGTTAAAGAAGGGCAAAAATGGTTTCTAGTGGAAAGTCCACTCACCATAATAATATTTTCAACTAAAAAACCTTGATATTTTAATTGTTTGACACATCTGGATAAATATGTTGTGATAGGATTTCTGAATGAAGAATTGGTTTTATAACAATATCAGCGTAAACTATTTTATAGTTATTTTTGAAATTAAAACCTGAAGTCCATGTATTCGTTTAACTCGTTACTGCAAAACCAAAATAGTGCAGATATACCAGATTCAGTTCTTCTGATCTAGATAGATCTTTCTCTTTTGCAAATATAAACGTTCACAAACATAATAAAATCGATCACAATCTAATTTACACTATTTATTAGACATTTTAGAAAACTTAAAACACTTTCTGATATCCTATGCTTTAAAACACTGTTGTAGCAAAAACCTTTGACCTGATAAAAACTTGGTTGTCATTTTTATTTTATCGAAGCCAATTTATTTATAAACTAGTGTAATTATTGCATACTAAGGCAGCGTAAATATATTTTTGTTGGAAATAAAAGATTATGGATGAGGGCACTTGCGACCATTATAGCCGATACAGGTATTGACAAAACCGACCGAGGTAATAACTCGGTTTTGTTTTTTTCAACCGGGAAAGATAATGCATGGATATATTTTTGTTGGTCATCGAAATATAATAGTAGATAACGACCATAATATAGAAATAATTATTGCAATTTTTTCGAGCTGGTTGATGGCCAAAGTTCTATAATTCAGACTATTTAATATAAAAATAGATGGAATTAATGCCTGAGTTTTTGTATATTAACTGGTAGATTTATTGTATAGTGGTCTTGGCAAACAATTTATTATTGTATGCTTAGGCACCGAACATATACATTTTATTGTGCTGAAAAGCTGTAAACGAGGTACTACTATTGAGATACATAAAGATAAAATACAATAGAACTACATTAAACAGCTTGGCGGAGTAATAGTACGTGTAAAATTTATTTCAATATCGTTATTATTTCTAGTTTGATAATTGTGTTTTTGTAATTCGCGACGGTAATGAAAGCTATTACAGTACTCAAACGGGTGCTGTAATGAGACTCCTTACAGCATCCGATGCTGTAATGAGACTCCTTACAGCATCCGATGCTGTAATGAGATTTTAATAACATTCATCATAAATTTCATAAATAGGTCATAAATTTTTCTAATTGATATACAATATGACAATTTTAATTGAAATTTATACCTAGTAAAATTAAGTAAGTGTTATTATTTATTCAAGTAGTGTTTTAACAGAACTCTGAGCAATTTCTCTAACATTTTGGTTTTGACAGTTTCTAATTGTCAATTCAAATTTCAATACCTATTTCCCCACATTGTCAAAATTTATTTGATTTTTATTTAAAAAAAAGGATAAAAACGCGAATTCCAAAAAGTAGCTAAAAACACGTTTCATAACACTTAAAGCTCATTCATTAAAAAAACTTGAATTCGTGCATTTCAAGCGTGTCTTACGAAACTAGTTTTTTAATGTACTATTATGGCTTACTTTACGATGTGAGGTTGAATTATTTTTAATGTATTGTAGACTTTCTATTCAGTCAGAATATTCAGTTCAGAGAATTTGGTTCTGCAGCATTCCAGAAAGCGTAAACCAGTCATGATTCTCAAGCATCTCCTTTGCATTCGAAAAGCCTGAGCAGCGTGAGCAAAGTGACCCCAACACAGAATGGTGTAGGACACTTATGGGTAGAAATATCCGTAATAAGTGCCAAATGAGAATATATTTATCAGGTTTCTAAGTGCAAAAATACACTTATTTAACTTCTTAACCAAACTCAGCACATGAGCCTCCCACGTTAGCTTGGAATCAAGATAGAATCAGATATTTAATCGGCTGAGTGAGATTTGGAGGAATTTCCCGTAATTTACCGCAAGATTATTAGATTCAAACCAAGATAGAAGTCTTCTGATAGAGCTAGACACAGCCTGATCAAGAATATTAAAATTAGGGAGGGTATTATCCCAATAAAATATAACCTCTGAGCTTTGTGGCAGGTAGCTAGGCATTAACAAATATCAAAAACACCAACCGACCAAGTACAGATCCTTGTGGAACTCCCTATTTAATTGTAATTTTATCAAATGTCTCGTAATTGAAAAAAACATACTAGGTACGCTCCCAAAGGTAACACTTAAGCAGTATAATGCTGGTTTCACTAAAATGGTGAGCTTTTAATTTTAGCAACAATAACTCGTAGTCAACGCAGTCGAAAGCTATGGTCAGATCGTTTTCAACAAATTGTTTTCAAAGCCATTTCGTATGCGTTGAGTTAGGGGCTGAAGTGGTGGACATGTCAAGGAACATATATTTTTTCTTTAGGTGAAGAAGTGTAAACGAGGTAACTTAATGTTATGGCACTACAGAGATATATAAAAATAAAATATCATCGAAGTAATACCTCGGGGTAACAAGCGACCTCAGGTGCAGTATCTTAACAAGTGGAGATAATGTATCATGTCCTTGATAACGAAAATATTGTATGCTTAGGTAACATACATTTTTTTTTGTGAAAAAGTGTAAACGAGGTGGATTCTTGTTATGGTACTACAATCGAGATATATAAAGATAAAGTATCATCAAAGTAATGCCTCGGCTGCAAGCGACCTCGGCTTCAGTATCTTAACAAGTGGTGATAATGTATTATGTCCTTTGTAAAGAAGTTATTGTTGTAAGCTTAGAACATATATTTTTTCTTTTGTTTAAAAAGTGTAATAAGTGAGATATATAAAGATAAAATATGATGGAGGTAATAAGGGCGTAAGCGACCTCGGCTTCAGTTTCTTAAAGGGATGGAGATAACATATCGCATCTTATTGATTTCGAACATATATGGATACCTAGTTATTAATGTTGAACAAAAGTATGTTGCAAGTATGTCCATAGGATAATTTAACGGCGATCCCATCAATTCGAACAATGACCGACATGTCGCGTTCAGAGCGACCGCATCGATCGATTAATTAACGATATAATTTAATTTCCCGTATGCCTTTCTACGGTCCCTAATAAACATACCAAAGCGCGTTGACATCCCTCCATCGTAAACAAAGGCGGGAGGAAAATCATCTGTGAAATATGATACGGCCCAGCGGCCGTCCGATGAATCATTACTCGCTCTCTAGCTGGCTTTGGATGGAACATCGGCGCGGCGCGGCGGCGGGCGTTGACGATGAAGGGTGCGGGACGAGGGACGAGCGACGAAGCGGTGGCGGCGCGTAGCCCGAGGCGAACGGTCGCCCGATATCCGATTACAGGCCCCACACGTAATGGGCCATGTCAACTGGCAGCGCAGCCTGCTACCATCATCATCCATCTAAATCTAAACCTTTACTTCAAGCCCAACGTTACGAGCGCACACTTTCGTCTTTCACCTGGTGTCGCTTCGGTAGCTTAATTAGACGAACGACGATGACTACAAGGAGTTAAAGTTCCTTCTCTTGTAAAAGAGAAGGAAACGAGCGGGCGGTATCTCCTCTCTCGACTTTCGCTTAAAAAGCGCGGATTAAATCCCGTTACAGGTCCGTATTCGAACGTTTCGAAGGGTGGCAGCTTCAAGGGAGGTCGATCGGAGTTTGGGGCATGGACGTTCAGGCGAGAGAACGAGAAACGCTTAATTGATGTCCGGGTAGGAGTTTACCACTCAAAGTTACGAGCTGCCGGTCGTCTCGTTCCCGCTGTAGCCGGCGAGATGCGAGAACTGTCAGGGCGGGAGATATTCAATTTGCTTCCCGGAGGATTGCCTGTGGGGAACGGAAGAAAGTTGAAGGTGCGTCGGCAGCGGGATTCCCGTATAAATTTCTCGGGATATTGAGCGACCGTTTTTACCTTTGTAGTCAAATGGATAGACGTTCTCGCTGGGATTTATAATTGTCGCGGAAAAGAAAGAAATTCGTATTTATTCATTGAAGACATTTATTAGTTGCAAATTAAAATGAGAAAAATATCTTAACACTTGACGAAGATTTAGTAATAAAAGAAGAATAATTCTATATGATTCATAAAAATCAATATGATCCATAGAAAAATGTTAAAAAAACTTAAGTTTGCGATTTTGAGGAAACTCTTATGAAATGATTAAAGGGGATCAAAATAGTGATGTCACTATGTACATTTCATATTGAGGAATATGAAGAAAGTAAGTCTGATACACTTGATTAAGAGAATGGTATAAATATGAAAATGATAATATGAAAAAGAAATTCCTCGGATCAAGGCTAGTATACAAAATTTTAATAAAGAAACAAGAAGAACATGGAATTGACATATGATTCATACAAATCTATATGATCCACAGAAAAATGTTAAAAAAACT